TGCAATTCAGGATATTAGTCTGAGTAGCAAAGGTGCCTATGAGGGAATAGTTATACCCTGATAATCAGGAGCTTTCTGTTCTTTATCATCCTGAATTGTGGAACTCGCTCGCGACATTTATCGAGTACTGTTGATGGGGGACTCAGATATCAAACTGAAGCGGGAATGGACTAAATTTATACTCTGTCGGATGGTGTACATTCAATGAGCATTCCACCTGTTTGGTTTGTCCCTCATGTATCATAATGGACACCTGTCGACGGTGCAATCGATCCGGGGTACCGGTCCCCTCCTTTTCCTCGCCCCGTTTTCTCGTCCACACCCCAAATACCACTAAAAGTTCGGACACGCATTGCTTTCCCCGATAACGTCGCCCAATGCATTATTTCCATCAACGTCGACGACTCTTCACTCTTTATACCCTTTACTCCCGCCGTCACCCGTATATCCTCAAGACTTCGCTCCTGCAAGGCGGCAAGCGCCAGAACTCTCTCAGTTCTTGTCCAATCCAACTATGCACGTCCTTTTTGTATTTCGCTGTTTCCTCTCTAAACGATGACCATGTCCTACCCTAAACCCCTCTTCTTCTTGAGTGCTGATTGAGCTTGACCTAGCATAGAGAAGCACTTGATGGAGAGATTTTTTTTGCAAATGTTCGAAAACGGAAATTGATGACTGCTTATTATTTCCCCATTTAGAACTGTGACGTGACAAGTCTTTGGCCTGCTCAATCCTTCTCGTCTTTTTTAAGATCCATTTATAATAGAATACCAAATTTAACAGCAGGATAGCATATACATAGTAAGTATGGACCTGTATATGAAGTTTGAGGACAACTCCTTTCCAGTATGTATGGCAAAATGCCAAATAAATCTCATTTTTGTCTTACATATCTTGGACAACTACATCGGAAATACTACAGTTATTGCTCATCCAAAGGGCTCATGTACTGCGGAGTTACTTTTCTTTTGTATGGAAAAAAAATAAATCCGAGGTGATTTAGCCGGCGGATTGACTGGAAAACTTGTTTGTCCAATTTGATGGTGCCATCCCAAAATGATGGTAGTAGATGACTGTACTGCTGAATTGACCGATTTATCAAAACTAGTTTTTCTGGCAGGGTCACAAATATGACTACCTCGTGATGAGTGTGATGAGTATCGGAACTGAACTTGGGAGTACCGAGGTGTCTGTGTATTGCAACAAACATGGTACAGAAAGGGAGAGAAACTTGGAACAAGGGGAAGGAAGAAACGGGGAAAAAAACTTGTACCCTGGGTGGAAGGTGGAGGATGAGAGAAGATGAGGGGGTGGGGAAAAAATACACCAAAAAGTCCCAATACAATATATGTTCTTCGAAATACAATGAGATATTCATCCGTTTGTTCCCTTGTCTTCTATAATGTCTCCTATGATATTCTTGTGAGGATTGCAGTACACCGCTCCCATCATTCGTGATTGGAGCTGTAATCCCAGCTAGATCGTAGATATTCCCGCCTTCTTGTCGCCTACGAGTGGGTGCACCTATAACACCAGAGTAGTGTCGAATTCGACGCACCCTATGAAGTAGGCTTGTAGTATATCGTCGTGACGAACTGTGAGGAGAGAGGGAGAGATCAATTAGTTTAGTTGAGATGCAACAAGTGACAAGCAGCAGTGAGATGTTTGAAATAGATGATCCGAAAGGAGTGGGACAATGAGTTAGTAAGTGCAGGTAGTGTAGGAAATAGAGAAGATAACGGACTCTCTAGAAAAAAAAGGAGAGTAATCCGGTACCCACCTTTTTTCTATACCTAATAGTCTCCCCGACAGCCAACACCCCATTCCGCATCGCACTCGTGCATAGATGGTGCAGCACTACATGCGAGGGGACAGGTAACACAGATGCGTCATCCGCAATAGAGGGGATAGCATTCGCGTTGGAATTCGATATATGCGAAGAGGGGCCCCAGGGTTCTGGAATAGCCGGCATCATTGAGATTGATGTTGGAGGTTGAGAAGCAGACGCAGGGGGATGATGAGAAACATCCGTCCCACTTGCTGTGGTGATAGGTAATGGACGGTCGAGGGTGTTACTCCTCTGTCTTTCTGAACCCCTAGATTTCTCTACACTTTCCTGTGCATTCGCATTTACATTTGGTCTTTGGGTAGGGTCAACCTCACCCCCTTCAGCTAAAACCATACTCATACTCTTCCACTCCCTCTCCCTCCTTCTTCCTTCCCGAAGCTCTCTCGAGTTTCTCCCGTCTCTACGATCTCTACTTCCATCTCTCCCATCCCTACCCCCATCTCTACTCCCATTCCTTCCCTCACGCGAAGGAGACAACGGAGGGTACCCCTCTCTGTCCCGAGTACGAGAATCCCTTGAATCCCGGGAGGTGCGTTCACCCAATCCAGCACCAATCCCCGCAATACCCGCTGGATTGTTATCACTTCGGTTACCAATGTCATTACCCGCACCAACACTCGCACCTGCAGCCCCACCCGGACTCGTTGTCCCACTCGTATTCGGAGACCCGTTTCGCGCTATGGGCGGCACGACGGGGTTGTTGAGGATGAGTTTATCAAGGTAGCGGGGAAGACGCGGGGCTGGAGGGATGTTGGGTAGGGGAACGAAGCCGGTGATGTGGATTCTGCGGCCGGCGCTGTAAGCAAAGAGTATATAAGGGGTGATGTTAGTGAATTGCCAATGAGAGACAAAGAGTTAAAGAAAGAAAGGATCCGGAAGAAATATAAGAAACCAAGTGACGAGCCCACGTTTTGATTATTTGGTGGGAACAAGGGCAGGACGGGAGAAATCCGGAAGGTTGGCCACCATATTCGTCCAGTGCTATATTGTATACAAACGCGTTGAAAGACATAACTCACGCATGTGCATTCTCCAACTCATTCTCATACGATAAATAACTCTCCTCATCCGCTGCCGCTTCCAACAGCTCCAACGGAATCTCCCTCGTCCATCTTGGTGCATACGGGACTTTTCTTATCCTGATAGGTGTCTGAAGGTTATTAGCAGTCGCTGATGCATTCGGATCGATAGAAGTCAACGGAGATATAACCGTCTGGGGGGAAGACGACAACGACGGTGGATGACTTTCTGTGTATTCGTTTTCTGACCAAAACGACGAATGCGAGTCAACGCGAGTGGGATGTGGATGGATATCTGGAACAACAAATTCAGAGATAAGATCATCACCAGGTCGAGGTGTCTTTTCCGGCTGCGCCACAACGACGTCTACATCGTCAACAGCAACAGCAACGACTTCCGCACCGTCTACACCTTCTGCGACGACCAACGTCGTCGGGGAATCCCCCGACGCAATGTCCCCCACCGCGTCCCCGGCGGCCGCATCCCCGACATTACCGAGCCCCACAGCAACATAGTTCGCTAAACTCCCGTTATCGTCTACGGCGGTAGGTAAATCATCTGCTACACGTGCTTGACCATCGACGAGGAAGCGAAGGTGGTGTGTTCCGCGTGGGAGTGCAATAATCGTGCTGAATGTGGTCCCGGTGTGACAGACCTGTGTAGGGCCTTTACCAGCGATAATTGATTCGTGAGTTTGTTTTTCCGAATTCTCCTCGGCAGCTTCTTCTTCTTCCTCTACTTCATTCTCCATCTTCTTCCTACCATTCCAGTCATCGTCCCCAGCACGTGTTAGAAACACCTCTTTACCTCCACCATGCCACGATATCTTCACCAAATAAGTCGGTTCACCCTCGCTTGGCTGTGGATTGACTCTATGTGCCGGTGGTGAGATTGGTGGAATCAACAACGACGGTGACCGAGCCACAGCATTACTGTTGTTGATTTCTTCAGAATCAGATTCCGCTAGTACCAATTTCGCTTGGGTGGCTTGGGCGGCTTTAGCTTCTGCGATAAGGAGATTAGCTGGGAAGGGAATTGAGGAACGGACGACGATGCGGGGAAAGTCATGACCAGCAACAGGACCGGCAGTAGATTGTGGATTAGGCAAGTCTGGAGGACGAGAACTGGATCTGCTTCGGATATGTATCGGTGTAGAATACTGATAACCTGCCCCAGGTTGTCTCTCAGGAATTGGTATCGCCTGTGCAGCAGCTGAAGCAGAACTATGTGTCGGCGTTGTAACCTGCGTCAACGCCAAATCAGGCAATTCCAAACTCTTTTTCTTCGTCTGTAGTGACCGGTGAACATATGGCGGCTGGAACTTTTCCTTTTCCTTTGCAATTTTTTCTCGTTCTTTCACCTCCCTAGCTTCCCGTTCCTTGATCTCCCTCTCCCAAGCATCTCTGATCTCTCTCTCCCTGGGTGCTAGCCTAGATCCAATAGGTATCGGGGATCTTACTCTGTTGGACGGTGACGGTGATGTCGGTTGTTGGTACTGTGAGGACGATGATGAAGATGGTTGCGGTTGTGGCGATCTCACTCTCGTGGATCCTGGTCTCGTGTTCGAGGGCGGTGTAAACGATGAAGGCGATTGTGCTCTCGTGGGTTTCGTCGCCGACCTCAACGAACTAGACCGCTTCGGCGATGACGCCGCAGTAGCTGCACTCGACGTCCTGGGCCTAGGACTCCCAAATCGTCGTGATCCCGTGGGTGAATATGCACTACTAGGTTGTTGTTGGTTCTGATTTGATTGAGAGTTGCCCATTTCTGTATAAAACTTCGAACAAAAACCAGGCAACAGATGTGGAAAGAGGACCTGGGAAGAGTTGGATTGCGTTCAAATGGATCTAGAACGGGGAAAAAAGATTAGACAGGAAATTGAAATTGAAAAAACGAGGAATCCACGAGCCCCTAATATGTTTTTGATCGGGGATATCGGTCCGGAGGTTGGTCTAGACGGATCTTGAAATTTAAAAGCTAAAATCAGAAATCTCAAAGGCAGAATGAAGTAGACAGACGGCTAATCTTCATTATCTTCGTTACTACAATTAAGCTCAAGCTCAAGGTCAAAAGTGAAACTGCGTGCACTCAACATCAAGAATCTCTAGTAACTATTGTGCACATTCCTCCATCCCTGGTAGTATATCGGTTTAGTACACGCGCCTGTCACTATGTTCGCGCGAAAGCTGGGTTCGACTCCCAGCCAGGGAGTGTTTTGTTTTGGGTTAAAATTTTGGCTTTCCTGTCATACATTGATAGATGATATTAGTCTCTCAATCGGAGCAGTACCACGACTTATGTTCAACACCTGATACATTCTCAACCTGATCACCGTCTACGGATAAATCACTTGATATTCATCTCTTATCGTCCCTCTCTTCTCCCCCTTTCCCCACCCTACCGTGCCATAACAACTCTCAACCCCCGAGTTTTCAATCCCGCACATTGAATGTACATTCACCACCTTTATCTGAAACCTCGCATCGATGCTGTCCGAGACATAATACGGGTTTTTCTTCCCGTGTATTGGGTTGTAGTTGATCTGGAGTTTGACTTTCTTATTACTCTCTCCGTTACTGAAACCTTGAAACCTGAGCTTTCCTTTCCCTTCATTAAGCAGTCTCTCGATGTTCTCGATTAGCGTTGCTTGGGCTTCCGCTGAGGGAGTTGTGACAGATCCTTTTAGGTAGTCTACGTACAGGATCGGCTCAAGGAATGTTATGGTGATGTAGATGGTTTTGGAGAAGAGGTTTAGGTTTGGGAGCTTCTGGAGGTACTTTCTGATTGCGCGGGGGTACTGGTGTAGGCTAATAGTGTTAAAAGATGGGAACGAGAGAGCAGTTGAGTTCGAGTGAGATTGGACTGGGTCTGCAAATTCTCGGTCGAGTCCTGGAGCCCCAGGTGAGAGGGACTCGTCAGTACTATCATCGTGATCGATATTTATGTCCCGCTGGCTGGCTCGTGGAACGGGCTGAAAAAAAAACGAAGATAGACAGAGAAAATATCAATACCAAATAGAGATTTCTGAAAAGATGTAACACGTCGCAGAGTTACAGTTCGAGTATCTACATGGAACACCTAACTAACTCACCGAAATGTTTCGTGCATCAAATTCCGAACGGACTCTGTATGTAGGCTTGGTATCCTGATCTTCGAAAGTGACCTGGGGATTGAAAGCCGTCAGTTACATCAAGTATTCAGTGACAACATGGCATTTCTTGTCCTCGTCGTTACTGATGAAGAATAACAGAACAAGAGACCTACCGAGCTCGAGTATGGACTCAGGTCTAGAGGAGCGGTGTGTACCATAGGTACAGCAACTAGAAGCACGAGGCTCAAGGAAGCGATAGAGGAGAAGAAGAGTGAAGCGGATAGATGCATTCTTGTACTTTCTGACAATAACGTCAATATCGACACAAGAGAATTTCAACCAACGTACAGTATATGTATAAACACCCTGTGTCGATGTCTAGTAGTATATCTATAATCTTTCCTCCCAGGAGAACACAAGGCGAGTGGGAAAAGGGAAGTGTACGAGGTTTGAGAAGGTAAACTCGACCAGCGAGTAACAGATAATGGCTGTCGGTGGGAAGTGGGGTGTGAGCGAGTTTGAGGGAAGACTTCAATGATAAAGAGGGGAGATGAAACTGTGCGAGAGGGTCGCGGGGTTATTAGATGGATACCAGTGCACCGTCCTGTCGAAACCGTCGGAGAACCGTCGGTAATATACTTATTCAAGCTTGATGCTCTGTAATAATAAGTTTGCTGCATTCTATCTTTCGTTCGTTTCAGTCACTGAAGAAAGTAGAAAAAGTTAGCTTCAGAAGGTTTCTAGCACCAGTGTTTATTGGATCGCACTGGATAATGGATGGAGTATTATAGTAGGAAGCACTAGGGACTGGTGATACTAATTTCCTCCTTCTCCCGCAATAACTACTTCGGCGGCGGAGGATAAAGCAGTGTGTTATTCTCAGCCTTGATCGTCTCTTTCCGAGTCTTCTCACTCCTCTGATACATCGTTCCCCTACAAAAGCTTGTCTCCCTCTGCCCACAATTCGTGCGTCCCTCCACCTGCACGGTATACTCCACCGGCGCCTCCATCGATACATACACGCAATTCTCCGGATTAGTAAACTCCACCTTCGGGGCCCCGAGACCTCCGAGACCCATAGCGCTTTTCGCTGCAGTGACGAATTTGGTGATGTCCTCTTGGAGGGTGGTGAGGGAGTCTAGAGCCGGAGGAGAGGCGATGGAAGGTTTGGTGCCAGTACAGAATATCTTAATGATGTCTGGACGGAGACGGTGGAAAACTGGGTTGTGGATCAATCGAGCGTGTAGATCAGCGTTGGTGGTCGACACCACAACTCTTGGACCTGGGACTACATATCCGCCATTGTCCCGAGTATTCCAGCTGGGTTCCCGAGAAACGATCTGAACATAGGATTAATGTTTTAGTCAGTACATCAATCAGTCCAGTGCGTAGCCGCATTGTTATTCAAAGATTTTAAATATTATAGAGCAGATAAGAGAGATAAAAAAGAGAACTTACCGCCCCTGAGTCGATAGGCACCGCATATGCTGCAGGTATCAAGTGTACAGCACTGAAGAGTAGGATAGTGAGAGAAATCGTAAAAGATACGAGATGCCTGATGTGCATTGGGCTATCTGAGTCTTCCGGGGATTCTCGGTAGATTGAACGTAACGTTGACAAAAGCTCAGAATGGATATCGATCAAGAATAGAGCTGTAACGAGTCAGAAAAACACCCAAAAATCATGATCAATGCTCCTTTGAATATTCTGATGAACAAACTTACCGTATCAGAGTATATTCAGCGAAGCAAGCAGACTGCGGTGAACAAAAATGTGCAATACTAAGTCCTTTGAGCCAGCAAAGGATGACTAGGAGCACTGGATTGTGAGGTTTGCGCAAGGAAAAAAAAAACTTGTTCGTGGTTCTGGTGAACTCGACCAGCAAGATAAACCGTAGTGGGAGAAGGGATGAGAGGTACTCAGGTAGACTCGAACCAGTAATTGCGATGGTAGAAATTTAGCGCCCATCAGACACCCAACTGATTGAATAAATAACAATAACAATAATCTCTTAACCATCGCCATCCATCTACGCTTCTAGCATGGTCCAGATAGATGATAATTATCCAACGCCAACATCCGTTTCCCAAAAATCCACTGTAGCCCTGTTGGTTAGACCCAGTCCATCCAGTCCCTCTGAGAAACCAACGCCAATTCAATCTGGAATCCTTGATACCAACCTCCACCTAGGCTTTCTTGGACGTCACCTTCTCCAGGGTCTTCCAGCCAGATACACCTCCCAAGATGCCTCTCAGCCCTGGCTGCTCTTTTGGTCTCTTCAAAGCCTGAGCTTACTCAAAGTCGAATTAGATCAAGGCAACAAAGACAAGGCCGCTGAAGGCATTCTTGCGATGCAGAACCCCACTGAGGGTGGATTCGGAGGTGGGCCAAGCCAGGCAGCGCATTTATTGCCGACGTACGCGGCTATCTGTACATTAGCTATTGTCGGTGCCCCGGATCCAACTTCGAAACTTGACAGTGACAACGTCAAGTCGATTACGCCGTGGACGCGGATCGACAGGCGTGTGTTGTATAGGCTATTTCTCTCTTTAAAACACCCAGACGGCTCGTTCCGCGTATCGTCGAACGGAGAAGTCGATGTGAGGGGTGTGTATTGCTTGTTGGCTGTAGCAAAATTGTTGAATATGATGACTGAGGAGTTGGTTAGAGGGACGAAAGAATGGGTGAGAGGATGTCAGACGCATGAAGGTGGTTTTGCTAGTGCTGCGATAGGTATTGGCGAGGGTCGGTGGGCTCCGTTAGGTGAAGCTCATGGAGGGTACACGTTTTGTGCATTAGCTGCTTGGGTTTTGCTCGAACTCGAGTTTCCTTCCTCATCATCATCAGAAAAGAAATTGAACCTCAGGAACCTCCGACGATGGCTAGTCCAAATGCAGGGCGGGGAGGATGAATTGTATGGATTCAGAGGAAGGACGAATAAGCTGGTTGATGGATGTTATTCATGGTGGGTTGGTGGGTGTTTTGCGCTTCTAGACAGGCTGGAAGAACGCGAGGGAGATGTGATATGGAATCCTGAGGGGTTGAAAGAATATATATTGTACGCTGCCCAACATCCAGCTGGTGGATTGAGAGATAAGCCGCCAAAGTAAGTGCCATTTCCTAAATCCACTGACAATACTCCATCCTTTGGTCTAGTAATCTCACGTCTATCCTTTTTATTCAGGTCACCAGATATGTATCACACACTATATAATCTCGCAGGGCTTTCAGCTGCCCAATACGCGTCTCAACCTACCTTTTTGGATCAATCATCATCTTCGTCGTCCTCTTCTGTATCGCCAGCACCCGCACAAGGTGCACCCTCCGACTCGTCCATCACATCATCATCATCAACACCTTTATCTTCATCCTCATTCTCCTCCACCGTTTCTGATTCCGCTTCGTCTACACAAGCGCAACCGTCCTCGACTCCCCGGGCAACACCAACTGCTGCTTCTCCTCCTCCTGTCATCTCATTGAATGGCACCGACCCGTTGTTCAACCTAACCAAAACCCATGCGGAGGCGATGATGAATTGGTTCAGGGAGGAGGGGAGGGAAGATTTTCGGTAATCGCAATTACTAATACTATAGCCAAATGCTAATAGTAGGAGATGCTTTGGAAGCGTCTTTCTTTTTTGACTTATTTTGAAATATCACAATTGTATTTGAGGAATAAATTCGTAACATCGCTCTTTCCATCTTGACCTCTAGCACCCACAAGGCTTTGTCTCCATCCGTGATGTACAGAAAACTTAGGACGGGCCGGGTATCCGGAACTTTATTTGTTGTGTGCGGTTTGTTGTCCAGCTTGTCGCCCGCGCGCTCTGTTTGTTTTGAAGCCTATCGCCATTTGTCGGATGAATTCTAATCATCCCGACTCCAATCGTGACTCCGACCTTGCTTTGCTTGGCGACAAAGAAGGATCACTGCACTCCCAAAATGCAGACACCAACAAAGGAGTCCTTGTTACTGCATCTTCAACAAACCCCAATGCGAAGGAGCCCGAGATAGGAGAGAAACGCAGCGGGGAAGAACATAATCTCAGTGATACTCACGAAAGGGTGTTGAAAAAGCCCAAAGTCGCTGGAAACTCGAGTGAGTACAACTTTCCTCCTTTC